GACCAACAGCCAGTATGATCCATGTGTTGTGTGCCGATATGATATGCCCTAAAATCTGCTTTATTGAAACAGTTTGAGCTTACCTTGCTTACCTTGTGTCTCCCTAGCTTGATCTTCATCACCATTGGAGCCCGGCTTGAGCTTGGAGAAGTACCGATTGACGACCAGGAGCAGAAACTCATCCTTCAAAGTATGATTTCCGCATCTGAATCTGCTTTTGCTTCTCTCTCCATGGAGTAGTTTTCCATTCATCTAGGTATGGAGAACCCTAGATTTGTATGTTAGGTCCGATTGTATGAAGCCAAGTACAGATTTTATGATTTGATTATGTTCCATTGAGGCTTGAATGAATTGAATCCTGATCAAATTCCTGTTATTTCTGCTTTAGCCTAGAAAGAGAATATCTGCCTAGGTTAATAGAGCACCCTTAATTGAAGGTAGTGAATTGGCGACTTTAGTCGAGGAGCCAATTCACTATTCTGTACCGAATTTACTTCGGTAGTGGAGGTTTGGTTCGTTAGGGCCTCAATCTGTTTACTCCGGTGGAGGTTAGTCGCCCGCTGGGGACTCAGATTGAGAGGGTCTGGAGACCTTTAGTCGAGACTTCAGACTGTTTAAGAACCTCCCGCAGTATAACTATCATAGAAACTGAACTTGGTAAATTGCAATCCGGCTTAACTGCAGTCTAGGGGGAACCATATCCGGGTGACCTCTCTCGACTTGAAAACAACCGTTTAACTTCCTTTGTTTGTTTGTTAATTTGGACTTGCACTAAAGTTTCACCGCTAGATAATAAGAATTCACTGAGTAGTCATCACATCTAGGACCCGGGTTGACATTAAAACCCAAACCCTCTATACTACGCTTTAGGAAGTGGTTACACTTGGCCATTTTCTAGAGTGACAGTAGGAGTGAGTCAGGAATCTCCCAGCTCGTTTGTCAGTAGGCTTCACAAAGCGTATCCATAGCATCCTATGGTGTGAACCTCGGTCAGAGAGATGGTGAACCTGCAGTTCCGGCCCCAAAGATAGCACACGAGTATTAGCCAAACAACGATCTAGACGGGATTGGATATGATCACCATTGGACTGTCGGTTTGACCATGTAAAAGGGGAGCCAATGAAATCCAAGTCATGGAGTCCTCCTGCAGATAAGAATGATTGTTGGTCAAGAGCTGGTGGTGTAGGGAAACCACCCTGTTTCTCACAACTAGAGAGTAAGCAATTAAAGTCACCCATCACTAATACAGGATCCTCATACGACGAAACAATGAAGGAAATTTCATTAAGTTTAAATTGGTGGGGGGCTACATCACAATTTAAATGCACAAAGACCACATCAAATCTCCATAGAGAGGGATAATCACATTCTACGAACAAGAAACCCAATGACTCAACTGAAACTGAACACACTAAACCAGACGACCAGGCAATAGCTAATCCACTACCATTATTGGACACACTATGTCTTCTTTCCTCAGGAAAGCTTAGACTACCTAGTTGTTGGATCAAAAACTCATCATCACGCCTAGTCTCACTTAGGCAAACCAGAAAAGGGGAGTCTCGAATGAGAGTTTCCAGGAGTACAGGAACTGTCAGAGGAGCCCCCAATCCCCGACAGTTCCAAGCAAGGATACTCATGGATCAGTCTGAGACCAATTAGGGTCGGCTGCCTCCACATTGAAAAACTTTTGTTGTAGTATCTTCCTGCTCTAGAGGTCCCAAACGAACTCTTTTGGCCATTGGTTCAGTAGCTTCAATCATCTCCAAATCTTGTTGTTGTAGCATCGTCAGTGAATTGCATTGATGATCATCCTGATGTGTAGTTGAGATTTGCAGCTGATGCATATGAGAGGCCATGCCCAGTGAATGTGTAGGATTATTCTGATCGGCAGTATGAACGAGAGCGGTGGAAGGTCTCCTGTTGTGGGAGACGTTCTTTGGCCCTGGCCTAGCATTATTTCCAGCCAAAGTCCAAACGAATCTCTTGAGAGAGAGACTCGAACTTCACCTTGGCTTTGAAGCTTCCCTTGGAGGGATATTAGTGAGCAGCGGAGACTTCATCTGGGAGAGGAAGTTGAAGATCTAGCGTGATCTTTACCCTGATGTAGAGGCCACCGGATGTTACGGATCTGTGGATGGTAGTAGCCTCCGATGGACCTAGGGTTGTCCCAAGCAAGGACCCTAGTTTCTCTATGCAGCAGTAGTATGGAACCCCCCCCCCCCAGATTTGTGCTACGAGAGGAACCTTGATCAGTCCTGCAGCCAATTCCGCTGTCGAAGTTGCCCACTTCTGGACATGGATGATGAATTTCTCGAACACCCATGGTCCTCCATAGCGTATGTGCTGGGCTGTTTCTGGATCGGGAAGCACGAACTGGAGAAGATCTCATTCCACCATCGCGAGGGAAAAATCACACTTCCATACTCTTCCGATAATCGTATAGGGCGTCGAAACTGGTGGTAACGGCCAGCAAAGCCGGCCAATCAGAGTCTGGTCAATCCTCTTGGCACCTGCAACAACATCTTCGTCATTGAACAGAACTGTCGCCATTCTAACTAGTAGGGAGATTTCCAATCGAACTCTTGTGAGAAAGAGGAATACCAATTGTAGTAAGCCAAGGAGAAGGATGAGGGATCGATCATAAGGTCACACGAAAGCGAGAAGCCCTACACACTTGCCCGTCGTGGGAAGAGAGGAGGGACGATTTGCTCTCTTCCCCCCCCCCCCCCAATTTTTTGTTCTGTGAAACAGAAAATGGTCTCGGGAGTGTTCGCATGAAGCATCTTTTGTTGGGTTTGGCGAAATGACAACAGGGTCCTTCCGTGCTATGCGCACAAGACAGGTCACATGAGAAATAGAATGGGGAAAGTTTATATGATCCCAAATTGCCAACCATTTACGTCACAATTACTTGACAAAGAAGCTATTGAAGTTGGGAAGAAGAAGAGCAGAATTTGGCTAAATCAAAATCCGTGTTCAGGGTACATACTTTGGAGGCATGATTCTCTCAATTGGCTTGGTGGAAATTCAAGGTTAAGAGTTTTTTTGTATATAAAGTTTCCATGTTTCCAATGATATGCTTTGTGAAGCCAGATGATGTCATTAAGGTTGTTTTCCAAGGCCTCAAAGTTGCTACCTCAAAACTGGAAAACTGCCAGAAAATGGTTAAGTCTGGAAACTGTTTTGTGAAGCCTACTTTGGAGATCAATTCAAGGAGCATGGATCTGATTCGAGACCAAAGGCTTCTACAACATGAAACTAGGAATGTTTATCTACCAAGGGAAGGAATCGGATGAAAGATCGACGTTCTGGAAGGCCTCAACGAAAGGCGCGAAGTTAGTACGAAAGCTGCCCTTTGATTGTTTTGCTGGAGCTTACTTGTGCGTCAAGAAAGGAAGTTGTGGCCGAGTTTTGTACTGTTTTTAGAGTTTGTTTTTACCATAATTGTTTCCTAGTTACATTAGGTTTGTATTAGGTTTTCTTGGCTATAAATAGCCTTCTAATTACGTTGTAAAATTCATATTTTGAAGAATTGAATTGAAACCTTTGGGTTTTTGCAAGTTTGTGTACTTGTGTTGAGTTTGGTGGATTCCAAGCTCGTGAGCTCTTGTATCGATTGAATAGTCACTTCAATGGTGGTCGGGCATCTACATTTTAATCCAATTGAGCATTCCCCAGGTGTGGAATCGTCCTTTTGGTTCCGTTTTATCCAAGTTCGTATTAAGAACGCTTCGTTCTTGATTTGAGCTCAATCGATCCTTCGATTGAGTTGTTAGCTGCGTGACTTTGATAACATACACCCCCCGGGGACGTATTAAAAGTTCTGCAGAGAATCTCATTATGGGGTCGTTTGGTAGTTGTGATTGTTAGAGTTGTGTTTATTGAATACATGTATTGTGCACAATACAATGTTTGGAAGTGTCAAAGTGTAAAACAATGCATGTATTGTTTTAGGTAGGTCACACCAACAATCACAAAAAATGATGCATTATACAATCTCAACTAAAAGTTGAGATTGTTGATTTTAGATTTGTGTCCAATTTTTCTTTCCATTTAATCTCTATTAGTTTTTGTCTTATACTAAAAGTTGAGGATAAATGTGACATTTTCCCATAAAGTAACTTTATGCAAGTCAATACATAAAATAGAATCTCAACAACCAAACAATGTATTATTAAAATGAATACATTGTACCAATATATGTATTTATTTTATTGTGATTAATTACAATGCAACGATTTAACATTCTCAATTTCCAAACGACCATGTTTGGTAGGATTAGGCCAAGTCCAATGCAAAACCCCAAATTTGGGGGCCTTCATCCCCAAATTTGGGGATTGATCCCCATTTTCCCTCTTTTGCTCCAATGCTTCAATCTCCATATTTGGGGATTTTCATTTTTCTAGTTTTTCCATTTACTTATAAATGTACTTATCGTAGCCTTAATATAATTTATTCATGTTAATTTTTGTATAGTTCGTCATCATTTTTAAATATAAATTTTTCGATAGAATTTTGTTAAATTCTGAGTCCGAATTTTTTTGGCAAAAAATTATGTACCTAATTTGGGTTTACACACAACACTTGAAAATGATTGATCTAATTAAATTCTTAACTAATTCCCTAATTAAAATCCCAATTAACCCCTAAAATCTTTTAAAAAAAAAGCCACATGGCGGGCTTTGGTGAGTCTCTATATTTTGGGGATCCCCCATTTCCATCCCCAAATTTGAAGTTCCATTTGCAGGATCCTCCATTTTTGGAGGCCCAAACCTCCCCATTGGACCATCTCCTCCTTCATTTTTGTAGATTCTCCCATAAATGGGGTGCCCATTGAAGTCAGCATTACAAGTTTCCCAACCGTACTCCGGAATGGTGGGCTTTCCCAGCGGGCTTTTAATATGAGGCCCATACCGCATCAAGGAACTAACGCCTACTCGGGTACTCGGCCCTTGGATGTGAGCCTTCTTCACGGCACACCGACTAGAGCAGTCTAAAGTCTAAACCCGTAAACCCAGAGACAAATTAATATTCCCCAAGCAAATTGCAAGTGCTCTCTCTCTCTCCTCAGAACCAGAAAATAACCCTAGCTCGCTCAAACTATTCATCAGCTACTCCTCAAGGGCCCATTCTCATCTCAGTCGCTGCGTGCTTACGGTCTCTGTCTCCTCATTTCCTCGCTTCTTCGACTTCTCCTTCTCTCGCGCTCAGCACTCCAACTTCTCACTCAGGTCCGTCGGATTCGCTCGCCGTCTTCTCTTTCTCTCTTGCCTGATTCATCCCCAAGCTGGCGGCAGTTCTGATTGTTGTCTTAGGCAGTTGGCTTTTGGCTTGTGTCCCCGCTTGCGTCGGTTTGATTTCGTGGCTGGCTTTAGCTCAGCAGCTGTGGAAGGAGAGCTTGCGCCAATTGTCTTGTCAGATTTCAATTAGAGCGCGTGAATCTAGAGTGTGGTGTTATTATGAGCTTTCGAACTGTAGGCGGACTTGATTTACTTCGAATTGCCTTTGTTGTAGCTGGATGTTCGTTTGCCCTTTATGGCTATCTTTCAGCTACTTTGGTTCACTGGGAAGAATTGGAATCAGCTCGTTCTGCTTGGGGTTTTGGTGGTTTTAGGTTGGACAAGTGTCCTTGCTGGGGATGTATTTAGGGAACCGCTAGTCAGTGTTTTGCCAGTTAATTGGAATACATCAGCATATATACCGTGAGCGTATTGGCATACCATGAATGCATTAGTTAGTCTTCATTGCGATGTGGAGAAGATAGGTTGATTCGCCCTATTTAGGGATTTAATGGGCTCTTCTGGGTTACTTTCATTATGTTTCTCAAACTTGAATAGCCCCTTTGCTGATTTCGATTTCATTTATTCTAGTGCAATATGAAAATATGAGTTTGATAATAATAATCCTCAGTGTGCTTTGTTTGTGATCATAATTTGGGTTTGCGTCAAACTAAATCTTGCTTCCTTATGTGGGATCGTATTTTTCAGAGGAAAACTTAGGGACATACAAAATGTCGCGGAAAGGCTTAATGGAGCAAGACCTGAGTAAACTGGATGTAACTACGTTACATCCGCTCTCTCCAGAAGTGATATCCCGTCAGGCCACAATTAACATAGGTGATTTAGTTTCCTGATTAAAGTATTTAAACTAAGCTTCTGTAGTTTGGGACTAATTTTGCTGTCTGTTCTTATTCCGCATTCCGAAGTGCGTATTTATATATTTTTCCTTCTAATCATTAGGCACTATTGGTCATGTGGCACATGGCAAGTCCACTGTTGTGAAAGCAATCTCTGGTGTCCAGGTGATCTCTCGTTTAAGTTTTCTGCATTACTCTCTATTTTCTTGTGTTTTCAGTTCTCTTCCATGTTGCTGTTTTCTGGAAGGGTTTATTAATAAGAGTGTTAAGACAATTATTAATGTTTCGTACTTAAGCTACTGAGACAAAGTGACGATGGCAATCTTACATAGATTGCTTGTGTCTGATTATCTTGGATGTAAGTTGGTAGTCACAATAGTCATTCCACTATCTTGTTGAGAACATAGAGCATGTAGCCTTTTGTTTCTTTCATAAAACATTAGTTACTGATTGGTTAGCGGTGTAATCACGTGTATCTGCTCAGTGCAATCCTATGCAACAATTGCTTCTGTTTACTGTGCTGAAGAACTCATTCCGGCAAGGATGAGACTTTCTTATCCTTTGTAGAGAGGAATCTTCGTCAATATACCAAGTGTCCATTTAGGAAAGAATGTTATGGGCATGTGTTGCCACTTCATATTAGTGGCTGCTTGTGTGATGCCTTATACATAATTGAATATTGATTATTATTTGTCATTCCTTTCACAGACTGTACGTTTCAAAAATGAGTTGGAACGTAATATTACGATTAAGCTTGGGTATGCAAATGCAAAAATATACAAATGTGAGGATGACCGATGCCCTAGGCCTATGTGCTACAAGTGAGTTGATTCAAAGCTCAAGCTTGTTGATATTGGGGTTCTATCTTTGTCACTGCATTTTATTTTTAACATTTTCAAAGTGTTTCTTCAGGGCCTATGGAAGTGGTAAGGAAGACAATCCCTCGTGTGATGTTCCTGGTTTTGAGAGTGCTAGGATGAAATTGCTCCGACATGTCTCCTTCGTAGATTGTCCGGTAAGTTTCCCTAATAGGATGCCATGTGTTGATCGTCCATCATTTTCCTGTAATTTAAGTGTCAAATGTTTTAACGTGACACATCTCTGGGTAGTAACATGACTCTCTTGTTTATGGATCTTCTCATTTTGCTACCCTACAGGGCCATGATATTCTCATGGCAACAATGCTTAATGGTGCAGCTATCATGGATGGAGCATTGCTTCTGATAGCTGCAAATGAAAGCTGCCCTCAACCACAAACCTCTGAGCATCTTGCTGCTGTTGAAATCATGCGTCTGAAGCATATTATTATTCTCCAGAATAAAGTTGATCTTGTCCAGGAAAATGTAGCTATCAACCAGCATGAATCTATTCAGAAATTTATTCAGGTCCTGTCCTCTGAGATGCTCTTTGTGTTCTTTGTCCTCCTCTTGAAGCTGTATTCGGCTCTGCTTTCGTCAGTTAAATGTAAAGTTATCTGTAAGCTGCTGACCTATGTAGTCTACTACCTCACAGGGAACTGTTGCAGAGGGCGCTCCAGTTGTGCCAATCTCAGCACAGTTGAAGTATAACATTGATGTGGTCTGCGAGTACATTATAAAGAAGATCCCTGTTCCAAAGAGGGACTTCACATTACCACCCAATATGATCGTTATCCGATCCTTTGATGTCAACAAGCCTGGTTTCGAGGTTGATGAGATCAAAGGTGGAGTTGCTGGTGGAAGTATTCTCACAGTAAGCATATCGTGAGATCTTCCTTTTTTCCTCTATTCTCTCATGGGTATAGTTAAACACTTGTCCAATGTCCTGTGTAGGGGGTTTTGAAGGTGAACCAATATATTGAGGTCCGTCCGGGAATCGTGCTTAAGGATGAGAATGGCAACATGAAATGCACGCCCATCTATACTCGGATAGTCAGTTTGTTCGCTGAGCAGAATGAATTACAGTTTGCTGTACCTGGAGGTCTCATAGGTGTTGGTACAACGATGGACCCCACTTTGACACGTGCTGACAGGCTGGTGGGACAGGTCCTTGGAGATATTGGTTCCCTCCCTGATGTTTTTGTGGAGCTTGAGGTGAAGTTTTTCTCCCAGATGTTAATAAATGCCCTTCTTCCTTCCGCTAACTTGACAATAGCAATCTAAATCTGATTGCTCCTTAACTTGGTTTTTATAAAATTTGTAGGTGAATTTCTTCCTTCTGAGGAGACTGATTGGAGTGAGGACTAAGGGATCAGAGAAGCAAGGAAAGGTATCCAAGCTGGCGAAGGCCGAGATTCTTATGCTGAACATTGGGTCAATGTCGACTGGAGCTCGGGTGCTTGCTGTGAAGAATGATCTTGCGAAGCTGCAGCTGACATCACCGGTGTGTACCAGCAAGGGAGAGAAGATAGCCCTGAGTCGAAGAGTGGAGAAGCACTGGCGCTTGATTGGATGGGGCATGATTCAGGCTGGAGCGACGCTGGAGGTTCCCCCCAGCCCACTTTGAGTGAGTGAGAAGGAAAGAAAGAGTAAGTTAGAGACCGAGGGAGACAGGCAGAGAAAGCGTTTAAGAAACAGAAACCAAGGTTTTTTTTGCAGAAGATGTGGAGGGGAAGAGAATTGCTTGGAACAATTTTCGTTAGGTGGAGGAGAAAACATGTTGATTGATCTTGTTTGGTATCTCATTTTTTGCATATCACTCACAGTTTTGTGCACATGCCAATTCAAGTATTCAACCAATGCTTTACGCCCAGGCCCAGGTTATGTTCTTGCATTGCTTCTTTACGGATAACAGTAGCTTCTGGAATGTTGACACCAAACGACCAAAAGAATATGGTTGGTTTTCAATATGGTTAGGTCTAGGATGGCAAAATAATCAATTATAGTTAGGGGTGGGATTCGGTTGGTAAAAGGTAAATTGTTTACTGAATTTATCGGTTTTGGTATATCGAAGTTGGTCAAATTGGTTACCGATAACCGATACTGGTTTGTAACCGGTTAACCGATTACCGAATTACCGGTAAACGATTACAAACCGGTATTACCGAAATACCGTGAGAAGCGATTTCGGGCGGTTTTTCGGTCGGTTTATCGAATATTTACCGAACCGAATTTCTGGAAGTATGGTGATGTTGTAATATTTTGATTTTTTTTGAGTTTTTTTCATCATTTTTGTAATTAATAATTTATTATTAACTCTTATTTACAATATTTTTGAGGCCTATACTTACTTACATTCATGTATGTAATATTTTATATTTGTGAATAATGATGTATATGTTAGTGGAGTAGGGAGGGGGGATTTCGGTATCGGTATTACCGATTTACCGTCGGTATTTACTGATACCGTGTCCGGTAAACCGACTTCCCCAACTTCCTGCTCGGTTGCCGATACCGCCGATTACCGGTTCGATAAAACGGTAAACCGTTTACCGGATTATCGTTTACCACCCCTAATTATAGTTCGAATCAATTTAGTCGAGAAAAATTAAATCGTTAATACTTGTGGTTTTTCTCGAACCCAGCAAAGAGTATCTGGATCGAATCAACTTGAATAATATATGGGTGTTGAATCATATACGGGGGAATTTTGTATGTCATTTCACTTCGTCATCTATTTTTATTTAGAGATGATTACAATTTTCAGATCATTTTGCCATCCTAGACTTAGCCATATTGAAAACCAACCATATTCTTTTGGGAGCACTTCTATGTTATATAGCATTGATGTTTTAATGTACAACTCAAAGTTGTACAATAACATTAAATGTACAAGTTCAAGTTGTACCATAAAAGAATTTGTACAAAAAGTATAGGTACAATCTAAAGTTGTACCATAACGTAAATGTACAATTTTAAGTTGTACCATAAAGACAAACCTATAGAACCAATACTATATAGCATTGTAAAATTTCTCATTCTTTTGGTCGTTTGGTGTCAATATTCCAGAAGCTACAGTTATCCGTAAAGAAGCAATGCAAGAACATACAGGATTTGAAGATGATATATAAAATAATCGATTCCACCAACACAAACCCATTGTCATTCTTAGTCCATACTGCAGTCAGGCCAAACCGATCAGTGGGTATGCAGTCCAAATTTGTGTTATATGAAAGTAGGGCTAAAATAGGTTTCTGGTTAGCGGGTAACCGTCGGTTATAACCAAAAATCGTCGTTTACCGGCTAACCAATAGTGTTTTTCTGACCATAGTCAAGGCCCAAGCCCTGAACACATTAGCCACGAGTCTGGAATAGATCTTCAGTTTTGTCCTTCGTTCTAAACCTTAGGAACAGAGCACAGGGGAAGAAGCAGAATATGTAGCAATGAGATGAAAGTATAAAACAATGATACAAGGGTTTTTAATGTGGTTCACCAAACTACAACTACTTTACGTCTCGGAAATAGTACTACCTGATTATTTCAGGAGACACTTTTATTACGTTTTCACCTATCAATCATAAACAGAAAAGAACCTACAAGTACTACTTGTAAGGAAGTGGTTAAGTACCATACATGGGCCTCTCCCAACAACTCGAGTTATTGAGACCAACTGGTTTATGACATGGTATCAGAGCTGGTTTGTCCTTTAGGTCACTTGTTCAGGTCCTCATGACCCCTAATATTAACTATTGTCTTTCAAGCCCATGGTATGGAATGCCTGTGCAAACTTCAAGCCCATGAGTTGGCTTTCGTTTGAGGGGCCGTGTAAGGAAGTGGTTAAGTACCATATATGAACCTCTTCCAACAACTCAAGTTATTGGAACCAACTGATTTATTACACTATCAACAAGAGTAGAGTAATCACACCAAGGAATCCAAACCCATCCTGATACATCCTTCAGAATACAGATCCTAAACCCCTATATATATGTCAAGCCCTTTGTAATCTCCAAATAATCCATATCTCATTCTCTTTCTACAAAGTGAAATTACATACACAAGCTTGAGACCAACATATGGTGTAAGAGGAAAACTAGGCTTTCAGACTCCTTTCAAGCTGATCCTGTAATCTTCTTTCCTTTTTTGAAAATTGAACGAGTCCTTTCCGTATGAGTTGCTAGAGGGGAGCTCTGAAGCTTTTGCTTCTGTTCAATACATAATGACCGAAGCTAACTTTGGTTGGTTAATACGAGTTAGACGTCGTTAAAGGAGTAGATCACGTGTGTTAGTAGGGGCATATTAGTCTTTTCCTCTTTGGCTTGTATGTACCCTACGTATGGTAACCCTAGCTGAGTAGTGAAATAGGGTTCCATATATATTTTGTTGTTCCTGCTTGCTGCGGCTCAATGAATTGATTGAGACCGATGAATAAGAGGTACTGAGAAGGGTCGTCTTCTCCGTGGATTAGTCTCGTTCAAGAAGAACGAGGATACCACGTTAAATCGGTGTGTCTTTCGTTATTTCGTTTTTCAAATATTTCATGGTATCAGAGCACGTTCAGTCTTGAGGATTGTTTGCGATGAGTAGCGACGAAACTGGCAGTGGGACCGAAGGAGTCATGGTTAGCAATAGCGGAGGAAACGGAGGTCAGCCACCTTCGATCATACCCGCAGCGCTGAGACTACTGTCCTCTGACAACCCTGGTCAGCTATTCGTTGGTGAGTTACTCAATGATTCCAAATACGGGGAGTGGGTAGCGGATATGACAGAGGCTCTCATTGCGAAGAATAAGGTGGGAATGGTAGATGGAACCATTGCTAAACCGAAAGGAGAAGAACTGTTAAGTGCCTGGCTTCAATGCGATGCCCTAGTGAAGGGGTGGTTGAAGACCGACATGGAAAAGGATGTACGTAATTCCATCCGATATGCTCGGACCGCGAGGGAGATTTGGGTAGACCTGGAATCGCGGTTTGGTAAGGGTTCAGCGCCTAGGGCGTATGAACTGCGACAAGGATTGAGCCTGTTGCGGCAAGAAAAGGATAGTGTTTCGACCTTCTTCACTAAGCTGAGAAGCACGTGGGAAGAGATGCAGAGGATCACTCCGATTCCGAAGTGTCACTGCGGACTATGCACTTGTAACATTGAGCGGCAAGTGCGAGATAATCAAGATAGTGAACATCTGTTCGATTTCCTCATGGGCCTGGATGAAAGTTTTTCGACAGTAAAGACGCAAATTTTGGCTATGAAACCAACGCCTACCTTGGCCGAGGAGTACCGTTTGATTGCAGCAGAGGAGCAACACAAGAATATCACTGCAAGTTGACGTCCAACGGTGGAGTCAGCTGCTTTTCAGACGCGGCAAGGGCGAGAGGCTGCCGATTCGGGGGGGCAAGGCGAGAAGCATGATCGGCGGGACAAACCGCCACGTTGCAGTCACTGTCAAAAGACGGGGCATACTAAAGAAACATGTTATGAGCTCATAGGGTGGCCTGAAAAGAAGTCACGTCAGTCGGAGAAGAGTGGCCGCCGAGGGCAGCGACGTGAGAATCCTCGGGCTGCGCAGACTACCTCCATGGCGGGTGTCACAATTCCTGGGTTATCTTCTGAGCAGGTTCAGCAGCTGATGAACTTCTTGAGTCAAGCTAATGGTGGTAATGGGGAAGCACAAACTGCCGAACCAGCAGCCAACATGGCGGGTAAGTTCACTTCTGACACTGAATGGGTTATCGACTCTGGATGCAACGAATACATTACGAATAATGCAGGTTTGTTAAAGAACTCACAGAATGCCTCGGGTTATCTTCCGGTTAAAATTCCAAATGGAGATAGTATACCAGTTACTCAAGTTGGGGAAGTTCTGTTGATGAACGGCATGAAATTAAGTCGAGTATTAAGCATACCCCTTTTTAAATGCAACTTCCTTTCCGTGAGCAGAATGACGCAAGATTTTGACGTTGCCTTGATCTTTTTGCGCGATTTTTGCGTCATTCAGGACTCACAATCCAAAAGGATGATTGGTAGCGGAGTACTGAGGGACGGATTGTACTATCTTCGACTGTTTGACGAGTCTGGATCGAAGGCATTGGCTGCTTCAGGCGCCGGTAATAAGATGGGAGAAGTTTGGCACTCGAGGCTGGGACATCCGTCGAACTACAAGACTCAGTTTTTATCTCATTCTATTCCGAATAAATGCATGATAGAGAATTGTGATTCTTGTATTCGTACAAAACATACTCGTGCTCCTTTTCCTAAAAGCACAATCAAGACTAGTCGTTGTTTTCAGCTTATTCATGTGGATATTTGGGGGAGTTTTAAGGTTCCAACACAGAGTGGAGCTCGGTTTTTCCTCACCATAGTCGATGATTATAGTCTTGCGACTTGGGTTTATATACTGAAATACAAATCTGAAGTTGAACGATATCTTGAGATGTTTCTTCACATGGGGCGGACACAGTTTGGCCAGGAAGTGATGCGAATTCAAGAAGATAATAGAATGGAATTTCAGACAGCGCGATTGAGGGATATTTATGAGGCTCGTGGTATTGTTTTACAAACATCTTGTACTGATACACCGCAGCAGAACGGTGTAGTCGAGCGTAAACACAGGCATCTCTTGGAGACAGCTCGAGCACTCCTGTTTCATGCTAGTCTACCTCTCCGTTTCTGGGGAGAATCGATCCTCGCGGCCACTTATCTCATCAATCGGTTGCCAGCCAAGGCGATCGGAAACCGTACTCCCTATGAAGTGTTGTTGGGCAAGCTGCCGGATTATTCACATCTACGGGTTTTTGGGTGCCTGGCTTACGGGAAGGGCACTCACAGTGGTCTCTCAAAATTCGCTGAACGTGGACGGCGTTCTGTGTTTATGGGGTACCCGGCCAATCAAAAAGGTTATAGACTTTGGGATTTACAAGCGTGACGGTTCTATGTTAGCCAT